ATATATATATATATATATACACATATACATACACGCGTAATTTTTTTACTACGCGTGAAGAAACATGAATAATTTCAAATATAAATATCAAAGCTATGACTTCATCATCCACCCTCCTAGTTGTTATCTTATGTAATATATACGATACTAAGATTATGCATGCATCTGCATATTAAATTCCTTTTTTTTCTGTATAATTAAATCCAGTATATATGCAATTATTAAAAACTGTTCTGAGAATATAAACAAGAAAATAAATAATTTTGACACAATAATTTAAATAGACATTAGACGTATTGCATTCATTTTTAATCGTACGTATACACAAAAAAAAAAAAAAAAGGAAAAGCTCTTGAAAATTTGCTAACTTATCTTTGTTATGCCACATTTTATAATCGCTAAAACGATAAATCTCTGAACAAAGGATAATTATATAGAAGAGTAATTATATTTTCTTTGCATGCTATCGAAAATTGTAATTTTATCATATTTATTATTCTGTTACTTTGAAATTTTTTAAATTAATACGATGTAAACCGAGATGAAAATGAAATTAAATCGTTCGTTAGTTTAATTTCGTTAGAAATCAGGTTCGATCATTCGCAAAAAAACATACGCGACCGAAGCTACCGTCTTATATTTTATATTAATTTTTTGCCGATCGTCAAAATCAATTAGAAGTATTGTCGTTCAATATGTTATCAATTTTTTAAGCTGTTAATTAATTGTAAAAAGTTAGAAATCAGATTGATCGCATTCATTAGACGTAATTATATTCGAAGCATACAAAAAATCCCCTTTTCATTTCTAGATTGAAAATTACTTATAGATTGCTACGTCATGAACCTCTGTTTCATATACGATCTGCCATTTGCATTAAAATTATCAGTAATATATTATGAGATTCTGCATACGTACCTGATATTGCGCAAAATAGAATAAGTAATGTGATTTTGAACATGTTTGTTAATATTCAATTAACTTCACTGTTTCTTGATAATCCTAGCAAAACTTTACTTTACCTCTGATATACCGATGAAATCTGAATATCACGAGAAGACAACGAACGTTAAAATGGGTATCTAATACAAAATAAAGCAAACAGCTTGACTTATCAAGCGTTCGAAAACTCACCGAAATATGAGGGGTACAATCGGAGGAGCGTAGCTTAAAGGCAAGTTCACAAACGCGATTTAATTATTAACGAATTAATATTATTTATAATTGATTTTCTAATGATTGCGAATTAATATTATATATTAAAGATAATAAATGTTGAAATTTCAATTGAATTCTAATTTAATTTTGAATAAAAAACAAGTCGTTTATAATTTATTGATAAAAGTACCACAATCCGATATGGCGGTTCTCTTTGTTCTCTTCTGTTACGTCTTCCCCCACTATACCCCAACACATATTATACTATTATAAACATTTTTATTGGTTCTAACCGGAATAAAGAATTTTCGTGCGCATGCGCAATTCGTACGCGGCACGTAATGTTTTATTTAAATAGAGAGGATTAATCGTAAATTTTATTGCTAAATTTTATTTAATTGTTTACTATAATAACGAGATATTTATTATAAAAGTCCAAGTTTATTGATAACAAAACTTCCAAGTGTTTCGTTTAATTTCGATGATTATAATTTAATAAAGCAATATTGCTTTATTTAAATTGTTAGAAAATTATTATTTGTTAAATTTACCTTTCTTTAATTTCTTATTGTCGCTTTATTATAATTATCAGAAGTATATTGTGTATAAGGATATGTGAAATCGTTTTATTCAGTCTATGCTATTTGAGAATTCATTCCACCTAATCTGTTCAGTTTTTTTGCATTTTCTTGTTTTTGTAATAAAGGAATAAAAAATAATATTAAACCACTAATAGCAATCATACTGCCTGCAGTATAAAAACCAGGGTCATACGAAGCAAGTCCATCATACAACCAACCTGGAAATAATAATACATTTAAAAATTTAACGTCGGCGATTTAATAATAATAATTCTGCATTTTTTTTACCTGCTATAGGTGGTCCAAGAAGAGATGCAAAACCTTGGAAAAGTAATAATAATCCAAAGGAATTTGTAAGACGATTTAAGCCTAATAAATCTACTAAAATAACAGAAGTAAGACCTACGTATGCTCCAGCAGTAAAGCCATAAACGATACAGTAAAATGCAAAAGTATAAAAATTGGTGCATAAGGTGCTAAATATTGTAGCTACAATAGGAAATATTATTTTATGTTTTTTATTTTTATTTGTTTTAAGAATAATTATTAATTTCCCTATTATATTTATAAATCATTACTTACCAATACCACATATCGTTAGACAGATATTATACACAAGAAGTCGATTGATCCATGGCTTGTCAGATACATATCCTAAAATAATACGACCTAAAGTATTAGCTACTCCAATAATTGCAAGTAAATAACTAGCTAAACTTTTGTTTATTCCTCGTTCTTCTGCTTGTGGCTGTAAAAAGAAAAAAGTAATTAAAAAATACTTCTAAAGGATTAAGAAGTGTGAACAATAAATTGATTTTTACCAGTAGGTATATATAAGGCACATTAAATCCAATACTGGTACAAAAATTAGAAAGAATAAAAAGAATGAACATAGGATTCTTTAAAAGAGAAGTATCCTCTATATCTTCAAATACATCTCTTGTATTTTCAGATTTAGTGGACAATGCCATATTATTTTCAGTCTTCTTTATTTCAATATTTTTTGATACATTTTTAGAGTATGCATCTGAGAGAGTAACTTCCTCTTTATGATCAACATCCAAGGATTTGCTGTAAAAGCATACAATAAATTTAATTAATATACGATTATATGTCAGATTATTAAGTCATTTATGAAAAAATGTATTAAGAACATTTCTATATTTAATGCGAGTTAAATTTAATTGATAATATAATAAGAGGAAAACACAAATAGAATAATAAAATCAGAATACTGATAGAATCTTAAAATGCAGATGATACAGACGAATAATTACGAATGTTCTCCAGACTGCCGTGATGTAATCCGTTATAACATCTGGTCACTTCGACACTTCCAAATCCTCTTATAAGTGACTGTTTATAGTGACTGCTGACTTTAGTTATTAATACAGGCTGACTTAAAGCAGTCCTCATACCAAAAGAAATTGGTATAATTTCTTTTTCAACATCAATTACGTTGAATTTTATATTATTTTTCAGATCGTTAGTTTTATTTGAACATTCTTCTTGATTAGTAAATTTTTCTTTACTTTGTAATTCTTGATATATTCCCTAAAACAGAAACCAACGTTTCAATGAAGAGAGATTGCGTCTGTAAAATTACATTTAATATTATTTCATATTTAATTAAACTAAATTAATTTTGTCGATTATACCTCTGACTTATGATTCCTTTTAGGAATTGGAGTTTCGAGTGGTCTGAAAAAAGCTCCGAGTACGATACAATTCAAAACAATACCAGAACATATCATCATTGTTCCTCTCCATCCATAATTTGATATAAGAGATTCCAGACAAGGAGCAAAAACGAGAGTTCCTAAACCTGAACCACAAACCGCTATACCCGTAGCTAACGAACGATACTTTTCAAAGTAACAAGTAACGCTCACTATAGCTGGTAAATATATTAATCCAAAACCCAAACCTGTGCAGCATACATGTATAACAACATTATAAACGCACAAAATACTGATCTTAACGAATAATTTAAAGGAAATAATTTCATTTCGTTTACCTGTTCCAAGGCCAATGGTGAAGTATAACATAATGATACTACCTGCCCATACACTAGCTAATAGACAAGTACTGGCTAGAATTGAACCTGCTATGGTGACCGCTCGACAGCCATATTTATTCACAAAGGATCCAGATATTGGACCTTTAAAATAAATATCGAAAATAAATCAGAAAATTACCATAAATTTTAATTATTAAAAACTAATCGATTTTTCTTACCTGAACATAAAGTTACACCGACGAGTATGGAAGCAATCCAAGCAGTAGCTCCTTTTCCTTCCTCAAAGTAATAAAGAAGCTCCAAATAAAAAACTCCAAAAGAATAAGTAACTCCATCGGCTGTTAAAAAAAAAAAAAAATAGATCGTTCATAGAAAATGATTAAAAATGTCCATCTCTCGCGCGCATTTAGATAGAATTTAATTAACGTTATGAACTTGAATTTCAACGAATCAAAATAAATAATTACATACAGTATGTTAAAACAATAAGAAGTAATATTTGAAAATTTTATAATACATTATAATTAAAAAGCATTTCCACAAACTCCTATTGATATAACTTATTTTTCTTCTCTATTTATGCAGAATTAATTTCTGCAGTTTTACCACGTATTTTCGTTACACTCCGTATAGTAAAGTTTGTAGATCGAAAATAATTTATACATTCAAGATTAGAGAGTGTTATCAATGGGAGGCAAAGATTTACAAAAAATCCGGCGATTATTTAATTAAAAAACGAACGAGTATTGGTGATTACTTGATTCAATATAGATTTAAGCATACGAATCATATAATGATATGAATATATAAATAATGAATAAAATAGATATTATTTATTAATGTTTTAAAACGAATATGAATTTGACCACACTATGATCATATTTTAAAATAATACTTTATAATACTTTGCCTAATAAGATTTTCTTCCGGAAATGAAACAATAGTAGATATATTACAAACTATATTGAATGGCCTATTAAAATGTAGATATTTATTCATAACTATCAGTCGTGAGTAATAAAGATAATACTTTAATTTATGTCCGGAACAAAACCGTTGATCTAATTTCGTGTGCATTCTAATTTAATCGTTAAACGATACACGAATTTTTTAATTTTGCTAATATCGCACGCGATATTTGACAAATATTATAATAGAATTTATTTATTAGGTCACCGAAAACATGTTTTGTTTTGATTATTAATAACATTGCGCGGTTTATCATTATCTTAACAAGGAAAATAAAATGATTGAATTTCTCTGATTGTAATAAGCTCGTTTTAAAGATATATATGTTACAAAATTTCAACACTGACTGTATATTGATTAATATAATTTAAATAAATTATACAGATACTTTTTTTTTTTTTCTTTTTTACAATGAAATTTGTTATAAAAATGTATGACCGAAGAATATAAAATAATATGATGCGATTATACGAGAATGTAAATTCATTTTAATGAACAAATATACCGAGAATAAAACTGAACAACAGGATGATAAGAAAATGATGATTCAAGTCAAAAATTTCGTTTTTAACGTGGAAAAAGAAGATACGAATATACAGTGTATTCAACTGTAAACGATCAAGAAGTTTCTTTTTGCAACACCGTTTCAATTAAAGTCAACAAAGGTTATCTAAATTTGGCTTTATTTTTTTTCTTCTTCTTCTTCTTTTTTACTCTGGCCTCTTAGCAGATAAATACGTCAAATAATATCTGTATCTTTGCATCTTTTTATTGTCAAAATCGTATTTCCAGCACGTAACATCGAATGATAACGTAATAATAATACGATTATAAATCGTAACGTTCTAATCATCGAATGAATTTCATGCGCTATTTTAATTTACGAGGGAATACGTTATCGTTGGCCTAATGCATTAATGATGAAGCTTTCATTATTTCTTTGTTAAATTCTCACGATTATTTTTTATACTTGAACTTTAGTTTTTTTATGATTATAAACCATCGTTCAAATAAATTTATTCTGGATACAAAATTTCAAATACAAACGCACATTCTTTCTTTCTTTTTTTTTTTTTTTTTTTTAAGTTATTAAATATCTAACCAATTTTGTTTTTCATTATAAATTAATTATTTGAATTCTCACGAATTATCGATAAACAAATCGTGGCAAAATTCTCCCCTCCCAAAACAAACAAAAATGAAGTATTATAGATCGTTTTAGGTATATATAACACATTCGATATGTTAAAGATAGTTCGGAGATGATATTCTTTTTTCGAAACGTTCGTTTCTAAGAACTTTTGCGTTCCTTTCGTCAAATTCACGATGCAGCAACAAAGAAAAATCATGTTGGAAATAAATGACGCATCTTGGATGTTTTATATATATATATATATACGGTTTTATGTCCTCCGATCATGAACTTTCGACGTTACCATTTTTATCGTGAATTGATATTCGATATTGATCGTGATACTATCAAAGTTTTTATTATTTTTAACAATTCCATCTGAATTGAAGATTGTAAACACGAAAAAACATAGAAATAAGGTAATCGAGCGAGCTTTATCGCGAGTGTTTTGAAGAAATCGTGAAACTCATTGACCGTTGAACCACGAGATGATCCATATATTTAATAAATAATGAAACCAAGAATACGATCGAAGCTTTTGTCAAAAAAAAAAAACTTATTAATGAAAATATATTATTTTTCTATATTATATATTAAAAAACAAATAAAGGAACAAAAGAATAATCGAAATTTCTTTCGAAACGAATATCAAACGAAAATACAAATTGTTCTATATTGAATCACGAGAAATGATTCATGTAATAAGTAATGAAAACTAAACAAGGATCGATGCTTTTATCAAAGACTTGTGATAGAATGGGATACATTGTAAAATGCAAAAGAAAAATGCGGTCGAGGACGTTGAGATCCGCCGTTTTCGTGGAAAATCGCGTGACTACGTGGATTTGAAATGGAAACAAAAAAAAAAATAAAAAAGAAGGAGATAAAGGAATTAACGAGGAAATTAAAAAAACAACACAAAAGGAAGAGTAAAAATGAATTCGATAAACTTACTGATAACGTGTATGAGAAAGGACGCAAGGACGACGAACCAGCCCCATCCTCCGTCTGGTGGTTTTGATAAGCCATTAATAGTCCTCGATGAATGATTTTCCATTAACGAATGAGTTTCCTCGACATTCTTATCTTTTAATTTACTTTTTTGACTAGTTTCCTCCTTCTGCTTTATTGTTTCAGATTTCGAGCACGCACTTCCACTCACACTCGCCATGAGTTTCGCGATCTATCGCGCGCTAACGCGCGCAACCAACTATCAGTCTCGTCGTCTTTCGATTCTGATTGTAAATACGAATCTGAAGAGCTTTTATATTAAAGAGAGGGTCAACGCAACCCTGACGCTACCGTGACTATATGAATATCATATATATATATTTACTTCCCTCTCTCTACTCTTCTTGTTTATTTATCAATGATTCAATTAATAGCTCTCTTCTTTCAAATCCAATAATTTTATTTTATATTTTATTTATTTATCATTTCTTATATATTATTTCTTATTCTTACTCGATGTCTTCGTGAAATGTATTTGAAATCTTTCGTTCGACATTTCCTTTCGATTAATCGATCAATCGATCTATAGATCTATACGTATGTGCGCGCGCATTTAATTCAAAATTAAAGCATTGGTGTATGTTCTTCTGTGTGAATAATACTATTTTCTTTTTATACTATTATATATTTAATAATAATATACAAATAATATATCATATTCTTGATTATTGTATAATAATGTATTATAGTATTGTGTTGCAAAATATAATAATTATTATTAATTGTTATAGAAAAAAAAAGGGGAGCAATATATTCATGAAATTCTTTCGAATACCAATTAATTTTAAATCGATTTATTTCATTTTATTCACGCCGTTTATATATATCGGGTGTACCATCTAACTTTATCACCTTAAATACGGCTTTCATAGTGCATACGAAATGTAAAATACAAATTATTATATGGCTTACATGCTTCATTTCGATAAAATTAAATTTACATCTTTTTAAGAAAATAAAGTAGCTTTGTGCGAATTGTTGGAATCCAGGAAGATTTCTTTTTAGCTCAACAATAAGCACGCATTATTAAAGTAACAAAAATGTATTTATTTAATTATAGATATGTAAATGCTTAAAAATTTGGATTTTTAAATGAAGAAAATCAACTAACTTCCCTGCTTACGTCATCCATATTTTTTAGATGATCACCCAATTGTGGCACTAATTCATAATTACAAATTGTAACACCATGCTGGTGACCAGGCGACCATTCTCCTTTTAACCCAATGTAGTAAATTTTTGATCTCTCCGCTCCACCATTACCGACAAAATAAAGGCTCAAATGACTTACGGTGGAGAATTTTACAACTCTGTTATGAACAACATAAACAATACTATATATGCATACTTATATTTACTAATATTTACATACCGTAAGGGATATTCATGTACACCAGTTTGATCGTTACAAAGCTCAAATTCTTGATCTGCTTCAACCATAACATCATCAAAAGTCATATGTGGTCGATTCTTATATCTAAAAAAAAATATAAGCATGATAAAATATATCTATATATTTATAAGTATATCTATATTTTATTTATAATACTAACAATTTTACTTTATTTGGTCGAGATTGATCTTCACCTCCTATTACTATAAGCCCTTTTAACTTTACATTTCCTGTAAAGCTGCAACATCAAAGAATATTATATATTTTCTTATATAATTTTAAATTTTAAATGTAAATGAAGTTTGTTAACTTACGGTATATTGAAAAGAAGTTCCTCATCGACATCACTTTCCACGAACTAAAATCAATAAAATTTATCTATATTAATATTTGATACATTTTATTAAATTTTTATCAAATTTACCTTACTAATATCTAATCTTTCTTCCCAGGGTTTGAATACTTTCATTCCACTATTTTCTTCATATTCATTTAAACATTCAACATTTTCCGTATCTATTTTGTTGTACAAATTATATTGAACTCCTAATTCTGCATCATTATGAACACTTCCACAACCGCATTGATGATCCATGTGTGCGTTTGACACATTAATAAAATAATTCAAATTATTCTATTAAAAATTCTAACCTTTGCAATTTCTAGAATAACCAAATGTTATATGCGCAATAATAACAAATTTGTAACAGGGTTAAATGTATATATTGCATGTGCATATACATACATGTGTCATGAGCCAGGAATGATGCAGAATATTATTGGAACTTTTCAAATACAATATATGAATTTTTATTTACACAATCATTATATATTTAAAAATTAAATATAAAAATAATTGATAGAATTATATAAAATAATGAAAAATATATTATTTTTAAATATGCTAATTATAATATTATTTTTCTGAAGATTTGAAATAGACAATCATGCTTAAACTAATAATAGAAATAAAAGAGAAGTATATAAAGACTCTATCTATAAAATGCAATTGTCTTTTTTTATTTTCAATAATATAACAATTAATAAATTATATAAAAAAGTAAATAATTACCAAAGTCTTTGTACGTTAATGATGCATTAGAGAACACAAAAAATATAGTGAACGTTTTCGAATATACAAAACACTTCGATGGTTGGTAACGCTGTAATTGTCAAACGGTCAGTTTTTAAACTAGATTTGCCACGTAGCAGTCAATTTCGTAGTATTTTCAAATGTTCATTAATAATTTATTTGATCAAATACGTCTACTCTAATCTTTACTATATCCTGCTATTATTTTGCGCGTAAGTTTGTTTTGGTGATTCATAATTCTATTATGAAAGAAATAAAATAAAGAAATAATACTATTGGTCGTCACGCGTAAAACATCTTTTCATATTTCGAATGTCCACCAATGAGTGAATAGTTAAGATTGGTATGTGTCGCGCAGTCATCGTTCGTAAAAAATTAGAACGAAGCTGTCAAAGGGAAATGTAGAATTTACAAAAGATGTCTTGACCTCTCTACTGATTAGTTAATAAAAGATTTCGAATTTCAATAAAATTGTTTGAAAAAAAATAACGTTCATTAAATAACGTATTTAGATTCTATAGTAAATCATTTTGATTTTAATGACAAATTGTTTGACGTTTATTCTCCGCCATCATTAATACAGACAGTGAACTGCCATATTGCTCGTGTTAAAAAGGATTCTTAACTATTTACTTAAACTCGGGTAATATATCTGAATTTAGTGATAGAACGAGTAGTTTATGCGGTAAAAGTAACGATAAGAGTCATTTCGAGCATTGTTAAACAGTATAAAGTTTTAGCGTAAACGTGTTATAAGAGGTGAGTAATACGTTTAACAATTTTGACATCACTTTTTTTTTGTTCATCGAATAGTTAGTATCAGTAGTGTAATTCAGATTTGTAGTACCTAAGGTTTGTTTAAATAACCGTTCATTTCTATAATAATCATTTAATTTGTGTTGTCTTTACGATTGCAAAATTTGTATTAACAATCAAATATAATAATAGTATATATTTACTATATATACATGTTGTACTTTGAAAGTAAAAATTAGATTTTATCTGATTAGTGACGTCCAAATTCTAAATAATAATAATTGTACTGTTTGCACACTATAATATAAGACGTCATAATTAGTTTAAAGATTTAATAAATCAATGGTTAACGCAAAGAAGTGATCAATGTTATATCTTTTGTAGGTACAAAATGTCGACTGGACCATACAATTATTCATATATTTTTAAGTACATTATCATAGGCGATATGGGAGTAGGAAAATCGTGTTTACTTCATCAGTTTACAGAAAAGAAATGTAAGTGATTTTAATGGGAAAAAAAAAAAACACTCGTGAAAAGTTTTTATCGTGTGAATATTTTTATATAATTTATATTCGATCATTCATTTAACATTTTCAATGCTGTGTTATTTTTGTTGTCTTACAGTTATGGCCGATTGTCCACATACAATTGGCGTAGAATTTGGTACTAGAATTATTGAAGTAGCAGGCCAAAAAATAAAGTTACAAATATGGGATACTGCAGGGCAAGAACGTTTTAGGGCTGTTACTAGGTATTTAAAGATTGTTGTAGTTGTTTTTTTGTTACTTTTTCGTTTTAGCCTTCGTGCGTTACAATTTTTGTGAATAAAATGAAACATATTATCTATTTATGTAGATCGTATTATCGTGGTGCTGCAGGCGCCTTGATGGTTTATGACATTACACGTCGTTCTACGTATAATCATCTGAGCAGCTGGCTTACAGACACGAGGAATTTGACCAATCCAAGCACTGTATGCAAAATATGATATTGTACATAATGGTATTTATATCTGTAAAGTGTAACTCTATTGGCGTGCATTTGTTAGACATTCTTTTATTCATACCATTTTTAAAAAAGAAGAATAAGTAAGACATTAGATTTTATTTAAGGTAATATTTCTGATTGGAAACAAAAGTGATTTGGAAGATCAACGAGACGTAACTTATGAAGAAGCCAAACAATTTGCCGATGAAAATGGTCTTATGTTTGTTGAAGCTAGTGCAAAAACGTAAGCTTACTTATTTATTATATATAATGTGAAATATAATACACAGTGTCGTGATATATTGATTTTTGTGTTTCATTATTTAACTTTTATTTCTTTATTTTTTTAAAACAGTGGACATAATGTTGAAGAAGCATTCTTGGAGACAGCAAAGAAAATATTCCAGAGTATACAAGATGGACGGTAAAATATTCTTTTAAAAAATATAATTATAATTTAAAACGAAATAGTAAACTATTAGAAATTAGTTGAAAAATATGTCTTATGTTGACATAAATTTGAAATAAATTATTATTGCATTTTTCTAGATTGGATCTAAATGCTGCTGAATCGGGTGTCCAACATAATCCTAGTCAACCTGGTCGTACTAGTCTTCAAGGAGTATCAAATGAACAACAAGGAGGCAAAGATTCCTGCTCTTGTTAGGTTATTATTTGTTTGTATATATAAGTGGATTAATTCATCAATATTATTAATGCATATATGATTTATACTAAGTATAGCAAGCAGATCATCTCTTATCTAATATCCTCCCTTGATCTTTATAAGTGAAGTCTACTTAATAACAAAGAAAAAAAGTAAAGAAAAAACTATTCAGGATATTCTTTTTCAGATAATAATAATTTCAAGTAATATTATCTGGACTTCTGACGCAGTATAGATATATATATGTTATAAAAAGTTATTTCAATGATATCAGTTTTATGGCTGGCATTCCAAACGGTGTATTAACAACGTGGTTTTTACATGGTTATGGTAACTTATATATATTTTGTATACTATATATATTTTGTTGTGTAATTGGATAGGTATAGTGTCGTACGGTATAACGAATTATTAAAGCCATGAAGCCCTTTATTATTTAAAGCGCAGCGAAAGTTATATGGATATTTGAAAGTAGCTTTGTTGGTGTGTATAGTATAAGTTATATTATATTCTTCAAAGATTACTTAATAGGCCTATACATATTTCTCATATGTACATACTACATGGAAGTTGATGCTAAATTTTAAACTCTGAACGATTAATAGGCCGATATGATTTTACAGTAGAAACATAATAAGGATACATTTTTCGCAACGCCTTTGTTTGGCTTCTGACGAAAAATAAGAAGTTTACCTTTCCATTTTTTCTAATAATTATTATTCACGAAGGTGTTCCTGTGCCAGATAAGAAGCTATGTAAAATGGTGCTGCTTGCATATTTTTAATGTTATATTATACAAGCTGATAGAGCAGTTATGTATAATATGATATTTGCAGAACTTGATACTTCCTGTAGTGACATGTGTAGAATTTATAATGATTTTCAATAGGTCTATTCATTTCCCTTGCATTCAACGTATGAATTATTACGATTGTATCAGCATCATCGTATTTTTATATGCTAGATTCTTTTCAGCACAAATAAAATGATCTTCTTTCATGAGAATTATAAGCATTCTGCATTTTGCAAAGATAATTACATTCCAAATTCTAAGTAAATGCACGAATATCAGGGAAATTTTTCAATTTGTTAAATCTCATGCTCTCTCTCTCTCTCTCTTTCTCTCTCTCTCTTTTCAATGTGAATCTTTTTAAAAATAAGAAGTGTCTTTATACACAACTTTATATGTAGATAAATGATGCTTCTGCTGCTTTCCAATAACTATAAAAAATAGTTATTTGTTATATACTTGGTTCACATTGCATAGCCCTGACAATTAATAACCCGAATAAGGAATACAATATTTGATAAAGAATGGTTCCAGCTTCTTCATCTTCTTGGCTCATACAATTAATAAATTGACAAATATTAATTTACAAGAAATATAAGTTTCATACTGCAAAACTAAATATCTATTTCCATAATTATGAGGAAGTTAACATTCTTTTTTAAGTTTTGTATTCTATTTAAAAGCACCGTTTAGATCCATTTATTGATGTTTAAACCAAATCTTTTTAGTCTAAGAGTGATATTCATATAAGAGGAAAATGTTTAAAAACAAAAAGAAAATTAACAAAAAAAAGAAAAAAAAAAGAAGAAAAATAGTAAAGTTATTTTTAAGTAATTATTTATATAATTCTGATATATATATATAAATTATAATTTCCTGCATTTGTAACATCATTATACAATAGATTAATCAAAATAAACCTGACCAAAGCCTCTTAGATCTATATAAATCTAAACAAATGTGAAATTCTTATGGATACAAAACTAAAGCAAAATAAAACCTTCATCTAGTTTCTTTTTTTTTTCCAGTTATCTTCAAATATATTATTCTTGTTATCAGTCTATTTCTATTCAATCTTCATTGGAATCAGCAATTTATTTTTTTTCTTTACTTAACTTTTTTCTCGAGTAATTCAATAGACAATAATTTATTTTTCTTAGAGCCAAATAGAATAGCTGCTATCATTATCGTCACAAAAATTAGACATTTGCGAGCTCGTGAACAGACCACATTGCAGAATTGCAGCATCCCTATTTTTTATCATATTTTTATCATAATTTTGATCTTTTATCCAAACATGTATATCCTGTATTTACAATGTGAGCAAACCACTGTTTGCGAGTCTTTATAATCTTCATGAACCTGACTAGCAATTTATTTTATTAATATCTTAACTAATGAACATTTATTCAAATTATTTTGATTGCATTTCATTCTAAGATGTATATTCTAAAACTTAAAGTTTATTACGTTACATAATAGATGACTAATGTCGCTATGGTTAAAGTGATTTTCACGTGAGAGGTGACATAAGTCCAATAAGGATGTTTTTTGATTTGTTTATTATAATATGTTAACCATACTTATATAGAATTAATTCTGTACATTACTTCCATTTGTAATTAAATACAAAATTTAATAACAAATGATTTCAAATAAAATTTTATTGTTAATTTATTTGTACGTGTTTGTCACGCGCAATAAATAATACCCATGGCAAAAGTGTGTGTGATTAAATCAATAAATAAATTTTTCGCTTAATGTGTTGCTTTTCGAACTACTAACTCGTCTTTTTGTTTTTTAATTGTCAGTTAGTGTTTTATTTTGTCAAGAGGTGCCAACTTACGTTAGTAAGGTGTATGTTTGTCGCCGCAAATTGTTCACAATGTTTTCGACTACGTATATTTTGTAAAGTTTTTAAGTAATGACCATTTGTCGACAGTTGTTGATCAGTTTAAATCGTAAGATTAAATTTTTCCTGTTTATCCGATAATTAAATAATCATTCAAAATTAATTCGCTATCAAGAATAAAACATTTTTTAATACCGCTAACCTTGTTGTTGGTAGCGGTATATACTTATGAAATGTCTAACTTTGGACGATTTAAAGCAAAAAACAATCTATACTTTATGTATCATTTAAAACGTAAGTAATATGTCAAATTTTATAAGATATTAATATATTTATTAATTAACAGATTAGTCGTGTGTGTTATGTCAAATAGTTGTAATTAAAACATAATATTTTAGCATGACATTTTCATTTTAAGTTTGCTTCATTATTTAATTTGTAATTAAGGGTATAATGTCATTTTCAAACAAAAAAATTATTTGCAGGATCAGGTGTTATTAAAACACAACGCGTTTATGATACTATGTATGCTATTGATAGAAAATATTTTATAGATTTACCTGTTGCATATATTGATGCACCACAAAAACTTGGATATGGTGCAACAATAAGTGCTCCTCATATGGTATTTATTTGTATTATTCATCTCTTATATGCTTATTAAAAAGATTAAATTTGAGATATTTTATTTTGATTTTTTTTTTCTGAAAAAAAAATGATATAAGTATAAATTGATATTTATATGAAATAGTTAAGAAGTGAAGATGAAAGAAAAATAAAAAGTTGAAATACAAATGAGAATTGTTTAGCATGCACATGTCTTGGAATTACTTCAAGACAGATTACGTGATGGTGGAAGAGCATTAGATGTTGGTTGTGGATCTGGTTATTTAACAACTTGCATGGCATACATGCTAGGACCTCATGGAACTGTAGTAGGAATTGAACATATTCCAGAAATTCAAAAAATAGCTAAAGCAAATATTGAAAAATGTTGTCCCAAATATCTATTTTATGATCGCATTGAATTAGTTGGTAAATTGAGATTCTTTAATTATTTATCATTTTTATCGTGCTTTTACAAAAGAATCATCGTTTGTAAATTATTTAGTTGGAGATGGAAGATTAGGATATCTACCAAAAGCACCTTATGATGTTATTCATGTTGGAGCGGCAGCTAAGGAAGTACCTCAACCTGTAAGAGCTCAGATTTGATTCGAAATATTTTTATTTTCTTTTTTTTTTTTTGTATATGTATATCTTGTAATTTACTAAAAAGTTTCATTTTCTTTTTCTTTTTTTTTTTATTTATAGTTAGTTGATCAATTAGCTTTTGGAGGAAGATTGATAATTCCTGTAGGCCCAGATTCTTCCAATCAGACTTTAATTCAAATTGATAAAAAAATGGATGGAGAAATTGAAAGGAAGTCATTAATGGGCGTAGTATTTGTACCACTTACTGATAAGCATCATCAACTGAGATCATGAGGGTTGTGTAAGCTCCAATGAGTGAACATTTTGTTATTTATTATTATGAGTATTCACATTATTTTGTAATTAATTTGTCATTCAAAATATTGAGCGAGAATGAAACGAATAATCTTATCGTGACATTTACATTAGAAATATTTTTAATTTATTTAATACATTGCAAATTATATATTCATTGTTTTTCTTTTTTAAAATATAAAATAGAAAATAAGTAATAAATTTCAAATAAAAAGTTAATTAATTAATTATAAACGTTAAAGAATAAGCTTAAGATTTCCTAACTATATTAAATAAGAAAACGTGCAAATAACGATATATTCTGTAACTATTTTTATCTTTGCTTTATATCACTTATTGTTAATTATATCATAGATCTGTACATGAAACCTTTAAGTAGGAATGTATAAATAAATGCTGATTTGTGTGACTAGAATTTCAATATTTCATACCGTAATGCTTATAGTAATACTATCAACGATGAACATATACAAGTGTGTATACTTATTTATAAAAGTTTTCTGGTGATAACATTATAAAATTACCATATGAAAACATTCATGTAAATTTTGTCAAAGAATCATAAAAATTTGATAAAGTATATATATATATATCTAAAATTATTTATATAAGAAACAATTATTAAATAGTCTAACATTATTTTTTAACTATATCAGATATTACTATTTAAAAATTTTACATAGACTACCATTGATACTACTTATATTTCTATTATTGTACAAATATTTTTGCTATTACTTTAAAAATGTTTCTTTTTTGTCAATAAATAACGATTATTATTTAATCACTAGCTACAGACATTGAAATTGTTATAATAGTAATATATTACGTTATAATACCCTGGAAACCATGATTTAAATGGAGTTAAATATTATATAAGAAATTATAAAATGTCTCTATAATATCTTGATAATTAATAATTTGTATATTTTTAAATTTGGTAAATACTCTCTAAAACGAATTTAAATCAATAATGCACTTATGTTTAAATAGTATACAAGGCAGTATAATTAAGTATATATATACCTTAGTTATATTACAAAGCTTTAACCATGTAAAGACTAAGAGCTGCGCCAGTTGTTAATCCTATACCAAGGAAAGCTCCCATCATAACAGATGCAATTTCTTTTTCTTGTGTATTTACCACTCTGTATAGAGAGATAATATAAGAATAATTAATTTCATCCAACAACAAAATGTTAAATAAAATACTCACGTTGGAACTAATATGAATGATAAATTACACAAATAGCCATTAGTTACAGCAAATGCAATAGTTAACAAAATGTAATATATGTCACTATGAATATAAACAGGTAAATTATGTCTTGGTTGTGCATTACAAAACATCAAACCTGGTATAAAAATAATTCTTGCTATGCTTAAAAACATGACATAGTATGGTTTATTTTTAGGCTGTAATCAAAATGTGTATTACTGTATATAAAATACTCGCTAATAAAGTTATATGTTAGTCATTGTTATTTACCTTCTGTAAAATGCCTGATAAAACTCTACCAGCATAATCTCCTGTGCTAAAAATGAGATATGTTACCACAGGTACAAAGTATACATCTAAAACAAATAGAAGAATTTTTGTATTTTTTTTTTTAAAACGATGAGTATATATGCGTAGATAAAAAATGAAATTTAACAAACCATTCCAAGCATATCCCTTTCCTTTATTTTCACTTTCTACTAGCACAGTTATAGCTGGATAAACTGTGAGGGATATAAAGAATACAAGGAATATGCTAATACCATAATGCCACATTTTTTTAATAATATTTATATAAGAAATTGTATGTACTTGTGAAAACATCACTTCGGTATTAACAGAATACTCAGAGTCTATACGTTCGGGAAATTTATCCAGCATGTGATGTTTAAAAAATGCCTAGGAATAAAAAGAAAACATATTTATTAATAACGTATAAGTATGTAATAAATATGTATTAATGAATACGTTCACATAACATAATTAGAACAATAAAGATGGTAAAATGTGCTTCTAATAAATTCTTGTATATATGTATGTTAATAATTTGATCGTTACCATAAGCGGCTTAATGTATATTAAAAGAGTCATAACAAAGTTGTAAATACCCATCTGTGATCAAATAAAATAATATTAACTACTCTTTTAAATTTTGAATTCTTTTTTTTTTTATAAAAGGAAATAAAAAAATAATATATAATAAAATATAAATTTATAATGAACGCTAAAAGACTTACTGCTTTTTCTAAAATTATATAAGCTATTAAAGAGAGAAGTAATATAGTATCTCCAATAATAAAATACATTAAGCCTGAAAGTATAGGGCTAGCGCCAATCCAAAGTGAAATCACTTCTGCTAAAGCTGTAAAGATGCCTCCTAAAGCTTGGCCCCCAGACATTGCAGTTATATATTTAGGAGAAAAACGTCCAACTATACCCATCAAACTGCCTCCAAAAATAGCACTCGCAACTGAAAGATTAATTAATGTTTTAGATTTTATAGATTTTAAATATTAATCAATTTGAATATTTACATACCATTTACTAATGCTACAGTAGTTAAAGTAATTATTAAAAATGTAGCTTGCCCTAAAAATATAAATTAGGCTTGTTGAATATTTATTTTTATTTTACGTGCATGATATTTACTTACATTTATCTGTATTTATTTTTACAAATACAGTCGTCATAATAAATAATAAAAGAATAATACATTGAGATCCTACCATTCTTGTTTTTAAAGGTACTCTGAAAAATTTCAATATCTTGTTATAGTAATAAGATACGAAGAATAAATATCATACATAATATCCGTAATTAAAAAATGTACTTACGATTTGCTAATAAAAGTATTTAATATTAGAAATAACGTATTTGGTAAAGCGCTTGCCACATTTAAATAAGAAGTAAAACTAGCTTGAAGATCTGTCTTTGTTTCTAAATTTTCCGTATGATTGTAATTAAAAGTTCTAGTATCATTATCATGAATTTGTCGAAATTTGTACATCCAATACTACAAAATTATAATATATAATTAAGTTTAGTTTATATTTTTTGATACATGTGTCATATCAATCAAATAATAATATATATACTCGTGTAATTCACTGTATATAGAATAGATTAATATAAAACTTACATCATCAGCAGTAATAAAAAAACTCCACGGAATTAATACATTTATCCCAAGCAGATAAAAAACTATATGAGTAAAGTTATATCTGTAAATAAACCAAAATTATATACATATAGAATTTATTAAATAGAAATTAATATATATGATATTATACGAAAATGATATGTGGTAGTAATATCTATAAATTTGTAATTTTCTTTATACCTATCAAGAGGTTCCTCTTGTTTAAGAAATGGTTTCTCATCAGGAACAGAAATATTTGGATCATCTATTTCAGTTTCCAAATCATCTTCAAATTCGCTGTCAGATACACCCCCTAATAAGGGTCTTCTATTAATAGAGTATGACATGATAGTAATGTCTAATACATCTAAAACAATGTTCTTTGTTAAAATATCATTTTATTTTCATTGATATTGAAAGAAAAAATTGTCTTGTGTTACAAGAGGAAAGAGAAAACTTAATGAATCATTATAGAGATAAATTATATATAAGAATATTTTATAACAAGTTGATTGTGTAATAAGAAAGAAATAATTACGTTTACGTACAGTAAAAGTATAAAGAATGTTGTCCTTTAGAAGTAACCAATGTATATATTTGTTTGTATTATAAGAATCATGTTCACTAAGCAGACGTTTCAACTATTGTCGATATTACCAAGCATTCATTCCTCTTTATATTAAGACCCAATATGATTCAATAATATCGATGACATATGTCAGATCTTTTAAGTCTGATTAAAACTCCATAAGCTGTTGTTTTTATTACAAAACGGAGCGTGTTTGTCTGAATTACTTAGCTATACTTCAAAGTCCCCACCTTACCATGGTGACATACTTAGAAAACTGTATTATCGATGTATTGTTCTGTTTTATCAACCTTATAACAGAATTTTATGATATCTACATAAACTATAATAAAAGAATACAGAAATACATAGAAGCTCCCAAGATTTAACCCGAAGACGGTACAAACTATCAAAGAATACAGAATTTTTCTTGATAATATATGATGTACTATGTACGTTTCTTTTGTGCAGTGCTGACTTTGGAAGGGGAAATTTTCATCCAAAAGAATATCACATCGAAATAATTTAATATTTAAAGTGTGGTAATAAGTATATGTAAGGCTTATACTAGTACATATATGTTTAAACAATCTGAAATATAAAAAGAGTGTATTAGATTATTAAAATAATTGTTAATTATTCGATAGAAGTGTCTTTTGTTGTTAAAAAGCTAGGAGTATATGTTCTGTGATCCGTCTTCCT